GTGGTTTTTCACTTATCGCAGGGCTTCAGGGTACGGATCCCCCGCGATAAACATGGAACTACTTTAATTGGCTTTTCTATGTCTATGAATTTTCCTGTAAAGTGCCCTGAGACAACTTTATTGTGAATTGATGATATTTAAATAAACTGAATTGAATTGAATTATTGTTAACATGCTAACGTGAGTAAATCCAGTTTTACCACAACTCTTTGAAACAGCCAAACAAATCTTAAATAGCCTCAGTTACCTATCACGCAAGTGTAGATCCGACAAAAGTATGTCTTGATATTTTAAGATCAATCACGCTCCCGTGTGCATTTTGGAATGTTGGTATTATATTTATTTCCAATATAATATTGGATATGAATTGTATCCATGATCTCATTTTTTCGTTCACAACCCAAAGCTCATGACCATAGATGAGGGTAGGAACGTAGATAGACCAGTAAATTGAGAGCTTCGCCTTTTGGCTCAGCTCTCTCTTCACCACAACAGACTGGTACAGCACCCACTTCACTGACAATGCCGCACCTATTCACCTATCGATCTCTCGCTCCATTTTTCCCTCATTCGTGAACAAGACCCAGAGATACTTAAACTCCTCCACTTGGGACAGGACATCCCCGACACCCAATTGTTGATCTATTATGGAGTACACTTTGAAAAAGTCAAGGTAAAGGCAGCTGGACTGGTTGGTGATTTCTGAAGACATTTCATCTCTTGGCTGAAAAGCTTTCTCAATAGATGCTGATGGTTGTGAGTCGATCAAAAACATTCTCAGGTGTACAATGGGGATACAGGAGCGTAGCTGTACTCTCATTCTAGAGAACTATACAATGCTAAGTCATATAATAACAAAAGGTTAGCTTGATAGGCCTTTGTGCATATTTAACATTTAGCAGAGTTTTTATAACTTCAGTGCTCATGCAAACATTTTACAGAAGAAAATGAACTTATCTTTTGTTTAGGATTGGTAATGAAGGTAAAACATATTGTCAACCTTATTGTTATTATGACTTGTATTCCAAATAAAACATGAACATAAAGTAACTCAAATTGTAAAGCTTTGCTTTAAACCACTAATGTGCCATTAAAATCTTTGCACCTCATAATTGTGCTCCTTAAGCAGCCTATAATGTGAGCACACAGTAATTTCCACTGTGCACAAAATATCAGCAGGAAAATAAAAATTCTACTTTTTGTATGAACCTGTTGGACAACCAGAATGTCCTCTTGATTTTTTATTTTTATTGTTCACAAATCAAACCATTTTAAGGTAGAAAATAAACAACAACATGGAATGGATGGAGGAAGGTGACAAGCAGTCACTTGGGCAACAAATGGCAACAACAACTGGTTAGCAGTACTGTTGCCTTGCAGCAGCAAGGTCCTGGGTTCAAGCCCAGTTGGGCCTGGGGTCTTTCTGTGTGGTATTTTTATGTTCCCCTCTCGCTTGTGTGGGTTTTCCCCAGCTACACTGGATTCCTCCAAAAACATGCATGTTTAGGGCCTTCAGGCCCTCCCTTTGAGAAAGTGATCTGTGATCTGAATGGGATTTTAACAGATTAAATAAAGTATAAGCAAATAAAAAAATGACAACCCAAACTGGCATTCACATTAGAGTCACTCCCCTTCCTCCTGAGGGTCATTAGGCTCTTTGTGGGTTTGGTTCATATGCAAGATATTTTATTGGCATGAGTGAACTTGGGGGACAATAAAAATTAATCCTGCACTACAATAAACATTTTAATGTTTCTGCTCACATCTGACCTGTTTTGGACCTTAATTGTTGGTATTTTTATATTCTGTTATTTTTATATTCTCTGTTATTTTTTATATGTTGTGTGATTCCTTGTGTATGTTCCTTTGTATTTAAACTCTGGCGCAACAATTTCCTGTGGGATCAATAAAGTTCTATCTAATCTTAACTTCCATTACTTACAAATGCATCTTTGACTTTTATCCCTAAACAGTTTTACTCCAGTTTGCACCTTTATTCCTGTGACCGAAACATCTTTCATGTCGACCATGACAACAAAAACCCTAATGATCGAGTTGAAAGAGATTTCCATGTGAATTCAACTTGCTAAATTTAAGCAACTCTTCATTAGCTATGTTTACATGGACATAAGTAACCCGATCAAACGACCGTTCGGAATAAAAACGCGTCATGTAAACACCCTGTTAGGGTTATTTTTGGTTTATTCAGTACGATCTGAAATAATTTGTGATGAGAACAAAACGGGTGGTTTACGCTGATTCATAACCCGAACATGTAAACACTTGATCTGTTCTAAAAAAGTTAAGTCTGGTCCTCTGGACATTCAAAAAACAAAACAAAGCAAAACAAACAAACAAAAATGTAGAAACGTTTCGTCTTTCATCCGAAAGACTTCCTCAGTCTGAGGTGCTGTTTTCAGCTCAGTCTCTTAAATAGCACCTTCTCAGAGTGGATCAACCAGTTTTGCTGCTGACAACCAAAACCAGCTGATCACATGGTCAAGAAGGACCATCAGCCTAACTATGGATCATTTGCACACTGATGGTTGTTTACTATTCACAGAGGGCTGAGTGATAAGCTAATTGAACAAATCATTCTAATGAGACTAATCACTGCTTTTAGATCGCATTCATACACTGATGGGACACACATCAGAGGCTATGAGGGGTTCAGTGTCTTGCCCAGAGACACTTCGGCATGTGACTGCTGGTGGATTCGAACCCCCAACTCTCTCATTGGAGGATGACTGCTCTAACCATTCAGCCACAGCTGCCCTTCAAAATGCTTATGACAAAAATACACAATTTTTTTATATTGTCTTGTTTAATTTTGAAATAGTATGTAGTAGTACTGAATAGTTGTATTGCCAGTGGTCAACATGAAGCAAATTTATGACCATAATCTTATATCTTGTGACTATTTAAGGAGAAGGTTTTTAGTGTTGTATGTGACTCCAGTTAAACTGCAGGAGGTTAAATGGAAAATTTACAGGCATATACCCATAGACCCATTTTTTTTAATTTTTTTTTTTTAATGTCCAGAGGACTAGATTGAACTTTTTTGGATTTTTCTACCTGGATTATTGAGCATGCATCAGGATACCCATAGATTGGTTATGGCAAATGTTAGGAAAGAAATGAAAATTCAACTAATAAGCACTCATTTCTTTTCCAAAAAAGTAGGGAACACGCTCACTTTTTTGGCCCCTTTCTTTTCATTGTTTATTTCATTTTAGAAATAACCTTTTCAACTACAGAAATTGGGCAAATCATGTTTAGACCAAATCTAGGATGTCTATATATGATTCTTGCAGTAGATTCAAAATCGGTTTACCTCAGCAGTATGTTATAACCACTACAAAATATTTGGTCCTTCTTTATTAGTAAATCTTTGCGCCTATTAGTGAATGTTGAGGTAGCTGGGGGCATGTTATTCAAAGGTTTTTCCTGCCTTTGAGGTTTGGAAATCATTCCATCTGGTTGCTTGGCTTTACTCCATGAGTCTGGGTGAACAGCTGACAACCACAGACTGAGCACTGAGTGTTAGAGACAGGGGTTTGGATCCAACACAGGGACGCTGAGAATCACTACAGTGGGAACGAGTATTACTTGATCCAGAGAAGTGAAAAATGAAGAGAATTTGCATAAGAAGTGGAATGTGGGATATAAAAGCAGGTAGACAGACCATTTGTGTTGCATACTGAAGTAAATGAAATGTTGTATCTTTGCCAGGGTTTACACCTTCAGTCATCAGTTTGGACTGAGGGTTGGTTTTTGATGAGGGTAATAAACAAGATGCTGCAGACCTGGAAAAGACCAGATAAAGTTTGGTTCACTGTCTTTCCAGAGGCAACCGTTTTAGGGTCCTTCCCCTGGCTATTGACAAAAGATTCCCGGGGAATTTGGTCTTGGTGTGAGGTGCCAAAGTTCTGAGTGAAGTGAGGCAAACCTCAAGTCGAAATTTAGAGAAAAAAATTTAAGAGCAAGAAAAATGAGCACAGAAGCTGAAGTTTGCATATCCTGTTTGTCGGTTTTGAAATAAAGCTTCATATCCACGTCTCGTAGACGTCTGATGAAGAATTGGATGGCATCCCAGAGTTTTGTTTGCTAACCTCTCCCTCGTTCTTTTTTTCCCCGTTTCTTCTTGCTCACATTTCACAGGCGCCGTTGGATTTAGGAGAAGCAGAGAGGGAGAAAGAACAGATAGGCAGAAAAACTTTGAAAGAGGATCCACATCCTTAAGTTTTCAGGAATCGAAAATTACACAGTAGCTTTTTTAAATGTTTTGACGGGAGCCTCATCAGATCAGTGTGGCAAGCTTCAGCCTGAAGGTAATTTAATTTCCAATGGATCAAAGAATAACCAGACCTCTTCTGCTTTCCCTCTCTCTCGTTTTCTTCGCCATATTTTCGGCAGCAGTCGGTAATCATACAGGAAGGATCAAGGTGGTCTTCACACCCACCATTTGCAAAGTGACCTGTATAGGAAGCAGATGTCACAACAACTGTGAGAAGGGAAACACCACCACCATCATCAGTGAGAACGGCCACACCACAGACACTCTGACAGCCCCCAACTTCAGAGTAGGTAAGGCATCCAAACTTTTATTGCTAATCTCATGAACACAAGCTCACAAACAGGCATGCACACTTGTTTTTGTCTTTTTGAAGTCTCACTGTTGACATTATGTATTCCCTCACCCTGAACATCACACCTAACTGCTCAATGCTAACTTAAGCCTACTCAAAATCACAACGCCATGTTTTTACTCCAAAAAATACAAAAACACTTCAGTTTTGAGGTCCAATAATTTGGTGCCAGGAATGTTGGACTCAACAAGTGTAGCTGGTTCCCAATTTTTGTATTTAGTCACATAAATTGTGTTTTTATACCAATACTTAACATGGTTTGATGCATCAAAGGATTGTTGAGGCAGATGGAGGGTCCTTATTCTTCCCGTGGGGAGATAAAGCATAATGTGCACCTCTTGGTCCAGAAGAACCCCTTTTAGAAATAGCAATTTTATTAAGTGGAAATTAAATGATGTAATTATGGTCCATAAATCCCCAAATTTCAGGTATTTATTTATAAATGTCTTGAAAATAATTCATCCCTAAGATAATGAGATGCTGTTCATATAGTTTTAAGGAGTATTAAAAACATATTTCTCTTTTTCTCTGTCAGAGCTGTTGAACTTTATGAGCATGTTTGTTATAGCACATAAGTGCCAAAATTTGTTATGTGTGAAGTTTATGTACATGAGGACAAATTGTGGGTGCAAAAGATGGAGCAAAAAAAATATATATACAGTTTGCACATTCTTAGTGAATTCAGGCCTCGGTGTCCAGGATTTGGCTGGTCCAATCCTTTCATAAATCTTAAAGAAACCAAAGAACAGTTTAAGATCATCTAGTTGCCAAAAGTTACAAACTTTACTGCACATTGACACAGATTTGGTTCATTTTCTTTATAAACAAACAGTTCTGAAACATTAAAGATTTCAGGACAGTTACAGTGTGCCGATTTCTGTGGTAGATGGCAAGATTCAGTGCACCCAAATATCCACTTGCAAAAAGGAAAAAAAACAAACAAGCCTGAAAAAACAGAACCAGGTGAGTGAAGAAAAATGGCATGACTTTGAAATGAGACAAGTTAAGAAAAGACAAAGGCTGTCTTTCAGACTGGAAACATGCCTGCATGTGTACTTGACCCATGTTGAGAAACAGTAATAAACCATCCATCCATTATTTTTTACTCACTTCTTCCATTTTGGGTCGCGGGGATCATCGGTGCCCATATCCAGCAATCACTGTGCTGGACATGGGCACCCTGGACATGTCTCCAGTCCATCATAGGGACACATAGAGACAAACGAGACAAACAACCATTCACTCTCTCACTCACACCTAGGGACAATTTAGAGTTACCAATCAGCCTAACATGATTTTGGTCAGTGAGAGGAAACTGGAGTACCCGGAGAAAACCCACGCATGCACGGAGAGAACATGCAAACTCCACCCAGAAAGGCCCCCGGACTGGGATTCGAATCTGGGACCTTCTCGCTGAGAGGCAGCAGCTCTACCAGTTATGCCACCGTGCTGCCCCAGTAATAAACATAAATGAAAATCATTGCTTTGATCTAAATGTAAACGCCTCATTCAGATTATTCTTTGTTGATTCAGCTCGATCCAAATGAATTTGTAATCAGAATGAGACGGGTGGTTTATGTCAATTCATAATCTGAACGGTGTCCATTTAAACACTTAATCTGATCATTTTATTCCGATCGTCGAAAACTGACCTGACTGCATTTGCGACCAGTCATCCTCATGTATTTCCACCTGGTTAGATGCTAATATGTCGGGGAAGTAAAACTGGTCGGTGAGCGACACAACATTTCTACTAGAAACTTTGAAAGAGCTCAAAATGATCTGTATCACCTGTAGCTCAATCAGGGAGTGCAGTAACGTCTCCACCGTCATTAAAACCTGTCGTGGGTCCATTTTGGGTGCTCAGGTTTGTTTATGTTCATCACGGAAGTAGAACTTCTTCTTCTATGTTTTTTTAAGGAGAGTTTACCACTCTGTGCATGTCAGTACTTCTTTTCAGAATAAAAGCCTGTTGCATGTAAACGCTCGTCATGATCAGATTGTGCCCATGTTAACGATACATTAGGATTATTTAATCCGAATACATTTCAATCCAATCAAAGAATTTTGTGCATGTAAACATAGCTATTGAGTAATTTAATTCAACATAATATAAAGTACAAATTTTCTAATCTCTTAATTTTCATTAAAACTGATAAAATGACTTATTTTATTTAACAGTTATCAATGTTCAGTGACAGATATAAAAACTAAACATACCTTTTCTTGAGAAAATGTTTCTTGAGCGGATCTCACAGAATTTTAATCGAGGAGCCCTGAGCTGTAAAACAAAGAGCTTGTGAAACAAAGGGGAATATCATTTAACATTTCAGGGTCACAGAGTGGTTGTAGATGATCCCAGCTGCCACTGAACTGGTGGGAATACTCTGAGCAAGTTGCCAGTTCAAAAACACTTATCACATTTGACCATACTTACAATTCCTTCATTCTTATAAATATTGCATCTGTTATAAAGAATAAAACAACACTAATATACCAAGTCTAGAGCTAATGCATGGTCTGTGGCGAGTGATGTGTGTGCAGTGAATGATAATGTGCAGTTACACTGTAACTTTAGGGCTCATGAAACAGTCTGTGTAGTGGAGAACATCAGGGGTGTTGTTCCTGATGTTGCACAAACTCAGCGCAGACTCGATCTGTGTCTCAACCTGCCTCAGTCCTTACAAGGAGTGGATGAGTTTCTTTGGCTCTGACACATGCAGAAACATGGGAAAAGTGTAACAAGCTAAATTCCTGTCTGACTCAGCTGAACAAATGAGTGCAATTGGATTAACACAAACCTCGAGAGGAAAAGCAGATCAGGCTGGTAACTCTATGTGACCTGGGGCGACAGTTTCCTTCTCATAGCCAGAATGAATTCCTGTTGATATCTGGATTTCTTCATGACTGTTCTGTCTTCAAATGCAACCATAAATGTTCAGTAAAGTCAGGAGACACCGAAATACAAAAAAGTTAGTGATCGTATATACTTTGTAGAATTGTACATTTAACTTGTCTTGACAGGGCAGCACGGTGGCGCAACTGGTAGAGCTGCTGCCTCTCAGCGAGCAGGTCCTTGGTTCAAACCCCGGTCCAGGGGCCTTTCGGGTGGAGTTTGCATGTTCTCTCCGTGCATGCGTGGGTTTTCTCCGGGTACTCCGGTTTCCTCCCACAGACCAAAAACATGCATGTTAGGCTGATTGGTAACTCTAAATTGTCCCTAGGTGTGAGTGAGAGAGTGAATGGTTGTTTGTCTTGTTTGTCTCTATGTGGCCCTGTGATGGACTTGCGCCCCGTCCAGGGTGCCCCTCGCACAGTGATTGCTGGACATGGGCACCAGTGACCCCCGTGACCCAAAATGGAATAAGCGGATAAAGATAATGGATGGATGGATGGATGGAACTTGTCTTGACATACACACAAACATATCCAGATGTATGAAACAATGCATACACATAAATCAGAAGACACTGTGCCTAATCAGACTTCTTAATTAATTTTAGACACCACTTACTCTAAATATTATTGTAAATAAATGCAGAAGTAGACCAGGGAGAGAATGGGACAGCAGCATTTCAAACTTTACATGTATTTATTGACAATACTACTGCAAACATAGAGGAAGCCAAGGACTTGGTAGGATACTCTTAAACTGTAGTTTAATTAGCAACAAACAATAAGTCACTCTCTTGGACCACAGACAAATAATGATTCAGTGGAGAGGATGATGTTTGAGGGCTCAATGTACAACAGGATAATTAATGTTAATAAGACGATGGGTTTAATGAGTTATTTAACATCTAGTTTTACTTATACAAGTGAACACTTGATCCATCAACTATTTTAGAGTTAATGGAACACCAAGATGACAAGGAGCAGATATATGGATGCGGTTAGAAAGGACATGAAGGTAGTTGGAGTGAGGACAGAGGATGCAGAGGACAGAGCGAGATGGAGGAGGATGACTCGCTGTGGAGACCCCTGAATAGGGAAAAGTCAAAAGAAGAAGAAGGCAAAACAAAAAGTAGCCTGACCAACAGCTCTCCTTGTGTGAATAGAGCACACTCCACTTCTCTCACACATCTTAGCCACAGTCAAAGAAACACAGTGTAGCCTAAGTTAACTTTTAGGAAAAACATCACTAGCCAATATGAAACAATCATAATAATCACTCCTTCTTACTAATGGTCTAGCATAAAGCAATATGATCATCATCCATCATTAGTAACTTGAAATACCTAAGTAAAACTCCCGTAGTGGACTAGGTCTACTGTAATGTTGCCCAGTTGTAGGGTCAAGAGACAAACATGTAGCATTAACACAGTATGAACAACATTCAGGAGTTGTTTCTATAAGAACATTACCAAATATTTCATGTGAACAGTAAGATTGCTTCGCCCACGAAGAAATATAACCCAGGGTGAGCTAACCTCGGACAAACAAAGATCGTTATAATGTGGAGGTAGTGAAGCTCACAGTGTTACCTGAGGCATTTAGTGAGGCATTCATTTCTCATTGACCAAAATTAAGGCAAAGACAGAAAAAATTCTAAGCTGCTAACAACTTTAAATAGTTACTGCAGTGAATATTTTCATGCTGCAGAGCCAAACAGGACAAAAACTCACAGTGAAATTCATTATGTAAGAGTAAATTTTACATTACACAACTATTAAACACTTTGTACAAAATCAGCTTAGTGTTAATGAAGACTAAACTTATACAACCAGAAGTTACAACATACATCTACATATAAAACACACAAAACAAAACACAACTAGCTTAAGCATTAACCTTAAATTTAACCATTAAGAATACAATGTCATTATGACAGAAAATGGAGGATTTACATGAAGTTACCTTGTACAGATGAACATGTGGTACTTCGTGTTTATCACTGTTGTAATCAGCTGCTCATGGGGTTGGCCGCCATCGTTTATT